TCAACCACAATTTATTTTTCTTATTTTTTATTTTGTTACAATTATTTAAACTAAGAGGAGTGGTTTTTTGTAATTTTCAGACCTTATACCAAACGGTGTTAAGGTCAAAGGTCTGAAAACTAACGGCGAGTTCCACATTGAGATAATTTTCAAGTGCAGATGCGCAAATTGATGCAATCCAGAGTAAAAGTGAAATAAAGTGATATGAGACCAAAGTATAAGAAAGAAAGTGAAATTTATCCAAATTTCTTTCCAAAGTACTGAAATTGTCACAAATTATTTTTATTCAACCCAAAAAATCAAGCGAGTTATATTATCAATCTATGAAAAAAAACAACTAATTAAACATCGATGAAATTTGATAATAAAATGCCTCTTCTTCTCCACCCTATGTGTGCTTGTTTTCTCAAAATTTTCTATTTAATAAGTTTATTGTGTTATATAGTTTTTATTATTGAAACACTGGATTAGTGGATTAATAATGACCATCTCCTGCAATATATTATAATCCTATTTGTTGAATGACCATCTCAACCAAAAGCTTAAGCTGTTAGTGAAATGTATCATTTAATATTAATATCTCCAATACGCCCCCTCAAGTGCAGGCGGATTACATTTGAAGCCTTGCACTTGAAATATTTTTAAATGGGTGGCTGTGGGATTCGAACTCAGGACCTTTCATTTGGCCTGACTCTGATACCATGTTGGAAGAATAGAATAGGAGAAGAAGAGAAATAATAATACGTAGAATAGAAACCCCCATTGTGTTATGGGTTGATTACATGGAATATATATAGAGAAATATTCCAAGGTAATAGAGTTTGACTAGGTAACTAAATCCTAACTAATCTAGGTAACCGAATCATACTAGAATCCTAATATTAGGAGAGTTCTATAATATAATATTCTCTAACACGCCCCCGCAGTCGAAACGTGACGAACGTGAAGACTGGACATTCACTTGCTAGCACGCTCCCGCAGTCGGAACGAATAAACTTCAAAACGAATAAACTTCAAACGTGAAGACTGGAAACTTCAAACGTGAAGACTGGAGAGAAACTGATAAGTGTTCATTTTGCATGATTTTCACTTATCAATTCTTCAAGTTTTGGTCTTCGTTCGTACGAGTTTTCGGCTTTATTTGTTTATATTATGCGTTTCTTGTTTTATTTATATTTTCAGGTTTTGTTAGCTATTTTTGCCGATTCGAAACGATTTTGGAAGCGAAGCCGAGAATCAAACCAAACAAGTGCAAAGTTGCATTTTAGCGGACAATGGCAGCGTTCGGTATTTCCATGCATACTCTCTCATA